TTTAATAAACAATTTAAAAACATTATCCACATATGACGTTGCCAATGCTCTGTACTATGTAGCATATTAATACTGTTGAAGTAACTTTATCTGCATTACATTTTCTTTGGAAGTCAAAATATTTAGTTACTTATATAAAACTTTTACCCAAATACAAGTAAAGTTACCAAATTTTCACTGAAATAAATTGATAAAAAATAAATATTTGCTGTTACACAGATAATTATTAATACATGGACATGCTGACATATGCATGATCTTTAGTGTGTTTAAAAGGTAAATTATGAACACACATTCTTGTCTGACATGTAAACCTCAATATGTATAATTAATATCTTTGAGCATGCTGAACTGCTGCTGTTCTTTTTATGTAAAGGTATATAAGGTAATTATGTCCCCTTAAGGGTTTGCACATGTACACAACTGGGTTATTGCATTTTTTATTTATTTTTGTTTTGTCTCCTTTCTTTTTTCCCTCTATACACATTTATACACTATATACAATCATCAGTGTGTAGCTGATGTATTTGCATGAATAGCAGTTGGCATTTTGTTTTGTTCTTCCAAGCATAAAACAAGGAATAAATATAAAAATGTTTTTACTGACGTCTGTTGCATGATTGAAGACAGTGTACCAAATGAAGACACGTGAACTCACATGCTTTATGTTTTAATGAGAACTGATGATATCAGTCTCTTAAAGGAGTGCAAGAGGAATATTTAAAACAATTCTTAAATGTATAGCATTGGGGAAGAGTTCGGGGATTAGGAAAGTGGAATAACAATCCTCAGAAGAAGAGATATACGTTCATGTTTCTCTTACTGGTTTACTGTTTTCATGTTAAATTTGAAAAATATAACATATCTAATATAAATGTAATGCCAATATTCTTTTAAAGCATAATACAGAGTAATTCAAGGAATTGTTGATACAGATTTCTCCGGGTAGAGCCTGCTGTTTCTTCCATATTACTAATGGATTCCTATTTTGAGAACTGTTCAGAAAAGCTGTAATGGCAGCATGTTTGCTGCTGTGTTGCCTCACCTGTTCTTTTGACAAACTAAGAATATTCCATGGATTTAAAACAAAAGTTTTAAAATGAACTCTTGGTGCATATGAAAATGTTACTCTTCATGCTTCAAAGCTCTTTTATTTCACTTTTTTATAAAGTCTGTTCTTGAGATACATCCAGTTGATCCACTATAGTCTATAGATAAGAATGATCCATGAAGATTTCTTCCATGCATTAATTTTGTAATTTTTAATTTTGTAAATCATTTATTTATTAGCTTTTTTCCTAGATTAATTGGTCTTATGTTAATGCAAAATCACTTCAATAGATTAAGGTCTGTTTGTATTCTTCAAAAAATCTATTTGTAAGCATTCTTGGCTGTAGCTAAAGTAAAATAATTACCACTTACAACAAACTTCAAGCAGAAAGAGTTTTATCTAATCTGTCAGCCCTTAAGAAAGAAAGCAAATGTTTTTTCTTTATGAAGTGAAACTTTTTCAGCTGCGAATGTCCAAGGATACATTTTATTTTGTGAAAAAAAATAGTTATATATAGACAGCTCTTTTTCTAACTCTCTTCCATTTCCTAAAATATGAAAGATATCTATTCTTTAAAATACAGTTGCTAAATTTTTTTTTTTAGCAAAATGGATCAAATGGAGACATAAGGTGGATTTTCTAAGGGATGATTTTTCAATTTGAGTTCTGTAAAAGTCTTATTGTCTTTGTAAATAAATGTATTGTTTTGCTTTAAATTTGCATTTATACATACTTTTAATTTGAGTTATTTTAAAATTGCAAAAGACTGCTTAGACACAATATTTAGTAGGTTAATAAACTGTAAATGTGTCATGCGTTCACATTCATCTCCACAATATATCAGGCTGGATGCACTCAACTGGCCTTAATTAGCAGGTTGCATTGGCTAATTGGGAATGTTGTGGACAATATAATGGAGAAAAAAATAAATAAATGAACAAGATAAAATGGGTTAACTGGAATAGATAAAGTTTCTATTTTATCTATTATATAGCAGGAAATTATTTTCTTGATATTTATCACAAAACATGTTTAAAAGAGAGGTTATGAGCAGGTTTGAGGATAACCGAGTGCCTTAATGTTTATGATGACTATATGAGATTGGTTTAGGTTTTTTTTTTTATTAACATGACTTCATATTGAGCCGGGTTCCCTGGAAGTGCTGGGGTTCTGGGTTGGTTCTTGTTCATGTAATGTACAGCCATAAGCAGGAATTAAATGTTTCTTAGTTACTCCAGTGTGAAATCCTTTGAACACTAGGGTATGACAGTAAAGTCTACAAGTCTTTTTTTGGCACTGCGACAGGAATCCTGCTGAGCTGGGGAGGCACTTTGTCAGTATGACTTCTCTAGCATTTTGAAGGCTTTGTCAGCCCTTTGCCCCCAGCAATTCATGCCTTGTAGTCCTCAGATTGGATATGGATGCCTTTTCATGTATTATAACATGGCAGGTGTTGGTTTTGTGGGCTTCACAAATAAACCATATTGTCCACGAGAAATATTCCATTTACAGAGGCACCAGAGCAAGTGGAATCATCTGTCGCCCAAACAAAATATACGTATGTGTTGTAAATAAAATGAGTGCCTGTTATCTAAAACTGGGAGTGCATACAGTATGCCAACATCAGGTAATTTGGCAATGTGGGGCTGCAGTGATAACTGCAACTTCAGGGATGTCAGGATTGCTTTCACTCAATGGTTTCATGCCCTCCACAACTGTTGATACATTATAAATTATTTACACATTCATTTTGGAACGCAATATCCCCCTCTAAATGCTGGCTTTTCTTTTTTGTGGTTATTAGAGTGAATGTAGAGGTAAGCATAGCAATCTGAGGGGGACCCTAAGCCATAGAAATTGAAAATTGATCAGCAAGGGTGGGGAGCTGCTAATCCTAGCACTACTTCTTACTCTTTAGGATTATTGATTAACATTTACTATAAGGCACCTATGTTAAAGGCAGTTTTGCCACCTGCACTTAGAAACCCCGTACGACGACCCCTTCCTGTTATCTTCCCAAACATTGATCACCTGTAAGAGCAAAAAAGGAGTAAGAAATTTAATTTTCATTGTGCTGTGCCCTGAAAAAGTGGAAAAGGAAGAGAGGATATTCTCCATGACATTAAACAGGTCATTAAACTTTTATTATGTTATCAGTTTTCAGTGATTGGCTCACACTTTAGGGTTGTTAATGCTCTACGCATAGCAGTACCTCATAAAATTATTCAATACACTAGCACTTTTCCTTTCCTGTCACATTACAACAACAAAGGGTTTTACAGTATGTACAATATAAGACCAGCACAAAGACGTGTATATTAGAGTGTAAGATTTGAACTCTTAGTTTTTACTTGAATAGCAAAATATTTTAAATCAAAATGATGTTATATCAGTCTTAGGGAATTTTGAAATAGTAAATTACTGCTTAAATGACATGTACTAATGAGATGCATGTGAAAAATATTTAAAAAAAATTATAATATAGCAAAAAAAGTTAAACATTTTAGGCTTTTATTTCTTAATATTTTATTCATACCCCTTAAGATAATAAAAAAACCCTAAAATGTACTGGGTAAGAAAAATTGCAAAAGGTTATGCAATTAAAATTGATGGTGTTACACCCCAATCAGCTGATTTACTGCACAATTTTAATTAGTCTGTAAAAAGCCTCTCAGTCTGAATCAAAGAGATGCTAAAGGCTTTGATCCCATAGTAAACAGAGAAAACAGAATAGCTTGAAGACACACAGTAACCTAACCTGACTCTGACAGATGGATTTGCTCCGCATATCCATCTGGAAACCTTCCGTTGTAGTAATTTTGGGAAGGGGCGAAAATACTGGTTAGCTGATTGGCCTATGTTGGTGATAGACGGGCCAAATAAACCAATCAGATCAACGAAACATATGACGTACTAACAGGCTACTCTTGCCGAAACCAGTCGGGAGAAGAGCAAAAACATCTTTTCCTCTGAGAAGCGCCTCCAGAGCAGTGTTTTGCTCTTCTTTCAGTGAAGAAATACTCCGTAATTCCGATAAAACTTGCTCGATAGCCACGCTAACGCTAGTTTCATCGGCTGAAGCCGCCATGTTCTTTAGACTGAACTGTCGCGCTTCTCGTTGCGTCACACCTCAACCCGCCTCAAAGCCAACGCTGATTGGACGTTCGTTTGGTGAACGGCTCCAAATTTTCTTCAACGGAGAGTCTCCAGACTGATTAGCGAGTGAAATCTTCAAAGCTCGCGAGATCAGGATGGTCTAACGAGGCTATCAGTAACCCCCCTCCCCAAAAGGAAGTCGGGCCACAATTTATCATAGCAAAAATACTTTTGTTATTCATTTCGTAGAGAATTGCTTCCAAGCATATTCAAGGAAATTTTAGCTGATAGAAAACTGTAGGAAATGTGCTTCAGCAACAGCCATAACCATAGCTATAACTGATTGTAAAGTAAACTCTATTTAATAATTTTGGAGAGCTACACAAGGACTGGAGTCAGTGCACCAAGACCCACTATACAGAGACCAGTCGTACACATGTGATTTAAATGTTGCATTCCTTGGTCAAAACCTGTTCAGAAGTGAGCAATCAGAAGTATCTAATAACTATTGCTCTGTCCAAAGTCCTCCTTTCAGCTGTTGGAAAGGTCAAAGGGTATGAAGATCCAGGGCAATTTAATTGGCTTTGACTAAAGTAAAGACAAACTGCCTGATGAAAGTCTTCCCATACCAGTTATTGTATTAGCATCTACAGGCACAGCTTGGCAGCTTGCACCACACTTAATTATATTATAGATTAATGATAGCACTAAGGGCTGCATCATATTTGTGTTAAACTGTTTAATATCATGACAGAAAAGGATTTCAAGAGTCAATAATAATGACTGGCTTAAAATGGTGGGTTGTCAGGGAGCTTGCACTAATTTTCCTTTCCTCTTATTTTTTTTTTTACAGAGTTGGCTGGAAGATCTGACAAGAACACAGGGAGGAAAGTGAGCGAGGACCCGCACGTCTGTGGCTATTTCCCATCATTTGTTAGCTGGTGGGCTTTATATCACAGCTGATGACTGTCCCTCCGGAGGCTGGATTACAGGGGTTAGCGGCAAGCCTGAGAGTTTGCTGAAGGGCGTGCCCCCAGCTTGTATGTTGGTCACCTACCCCCGCTCTTGCTCACAGGGATCATGTGGCTTTGTCCAAGGAGAAATCGTTTTCCCTTACAGAACTGGCACGGTGTCCAAAATTGCACCAATTTCAGCGTGTCGTTGTGGGTTTTAAGCTTTTGTTGGTGCTTTGCGGCCCTGAGAGGTCAGAACTACCACCCCACTGTGAACACACAGTATGGGAAGCTCCGTGGGGTGAGGGTGCCCCTGCCAAGTGAGATCCTGGGGCCGGTTGACCAGTACCTCGGAGTCCCATACGCAGCTCCCCCTGTGGGAGAGAAACGCTTCATGCCCCCGGAGCCACCTTCCTCCTGGTCGGGAGTCAAGAACGCTACCCACTTCGCTCCTGTCTGCCCACAAAATATTCACAATGCTGTGCCAGAAATCATGATGCCAATATGGTTCACCTTTAACCTGGATATAGTTACTACATACATACAGGATCAGCACGAAGACTGTCTTTACCTAAACATCTATGTTCCTACAGAGGATGGTGAGTGTGTCGAGTATGAAGTTCAAACTGTCCTCTTTTCTTCTGTCTCTTCTTCCCACTCTTTCTCTCCTCTCTCAGAAACTCTGTCACTTTTTTGTTTCTTTTACGCAGAGCATGACCTGTCGTCTGGTGCATGCTGTGTCCGTGTCCATTAGATCAGCCTTTCACATTGACTAGATATTCCACTTAGTCTTTTCATCAACTCTTCCCTTCCATACCAATGTTAGAGGTTCCTCTTTTGACAACTAAATGACTCTTCAATATGACTTGATATAAAAGAAAAGCAAATCAAATGCAAGAGACAGATTGGAAATACCTGATGCACCCTTGTTGCCCTCACTGTCTTGACCTGCTCTGGGGATATGACCAATAGTAGCCTGCTTCATAAGTGAATGATCTTCTGTAGGGTTGGTGAAATATTCTGTCTGGTACATGAGAAGCCTGTGGCATCAGCCTGATCTATGTAAGACCCTTTACTCTCCTTTCTTTGTTTCGTGTTTTTCATACAAAGTTCATTGCCAAAAAAGGAGAGCATTAGGGTGAACAAAAAGAAACACTTTAAAGTTTTGTTTTTTCTATTTCTGGATATTGACTCCTTAAATGGCAGCCATTATTGACCACTTAAAGGAGAGCCACCCAGCAAAATGGACTTGAAATATAAAGTGCTCCAAAAATCAAATAGAAAATGCCAAAAGGCAGAAAGAAAACGGTGATACGTTCAGACTATATGTCCTCTGTGTGGCTGTAATGGGTCTTAAATAGAAGTGCATGTGAATATGGGCTTCTTGTGTCCCAAGGTGCAGTAAATTCATTCCACCATTTCAGAATATTTCCGCAGCAACACCCTAGCTACTTTTTCCAACAGGTCTTCTGTTGTTATTGTTGTTGATAAAAGTCTAGTGAGGGTGGGAGGAGGGGGAAAAAGGAGAATAAGAGTCTCAGCTGTTGCATGTCACATGGGTTCTGTTTCAGAGCTCTCTGTTATTTTGTAGTTTTTCCATTCATTTTACAGTCAAAAGAATATCCAAGGAATGTGCGAGGAAACCCAACAAGAAAATATGTAGAAAAGGAGGTATGTAAAAAAAAAAAAAAAGCAACATGGAACGAAACGCAAGGAAATGAAAGAGTGAAGAGAGTGATTCGTGCTTCCTACCAAAGCCGTCAATATCACCATCTACCAACTCCAAAATCCGAGTGTTAATTGGGAAAAATGTGGTCCTTATGACTCAAATCAACCTTGACATAAGTGTGAGGGTTGAGTAAGTTGGTGCTTCAAATGTGTATGTCAGTGTGTGTGTAAATTGTACTGTGGCCTGAATGTGTGAATGTGAGTCAAGGGGTGAGAAACATGGTTCCTAAATAAATAATGCGTTGAGAGTAAGTGTTTTGGTCTATAACACATTTTACTTTATGGCTTTTTTTGGGATGTTTTCTTTGATAATGTTACAGTTAATAACTGGGATAATTTAGGCTTTATGAAGCGGGGTTCTGTGAAGTAGCCTAATTATCATAGTTTGTGGATTTTCTATTGAAGAATGATTTAGAAATTATGATATAGGACTGATAGTAGAGCAGTTATGACAACAATTCTTCTAATTTTAGAGCACAATGGGAAGAAATTTAAGCATTTCTTGTTCATAGTTCACCACCTAACTAACTTTAACCCTTTAAAGCCTGATCCAAGAATAAAACAAAACAGAAAATTGCTTTTTTTTTGTTTGAAGTCCTTATTTGGCCTTTTAACAAAATATGTAAAAAGAAAAAACGGAAATACATTTTTGATATCAATAATTTATTACTATGCGATAAGTCAAGATTATTTTTTGTGTAGTCTTCTGCCCTCTGTTATCAGATATATCTGATTGTGTACAATAGGATTTTGAGCAAAGTTTTTACCATTAAATTATGTAAAAGGTGTCAGACGCAAAACATTTCAGAAACCGTATGTATCAAATATGATACATTTGGCATTACAGGGTTAACAATGTTCTGATCAAATTAAGCATTAGATAATTTAGGTTGAAATTGAATTAAATCATATTTATTGTTTAAGTAATCTGTTACCAGGGTCATTCCATGAAAACTGTTAAGTTTGAGTCCATAACATTCAGAGAGGAATAGGAAGCATAATAAAACTGTCAGTAATACTTTAAGTGTTTAAAGCCATTGATTTAAGTTTAGTTGGTAGCGTGACGTCAAATAAAAGTAAATAATAAATATATAAGTTTTCATGGTTAGAAATACTTTCCTCTTAATAGGAAATGTGTTAATTATATTAAAATGTCATGATTTTTCTATGTCCATCAATTTCATATTCCACCCCATCACACCAATGTTATTTTGCGCCAAAATGCAATACACTTCCTAGAAGTGACATTACTAACATGAAGTGACATCATTCAAGAGTTTGAAGAAGAGACATCTAAAAAATGCTGAGTTCTGTTTTTTCTTTAAGAGCATTTTTGGTACATTTTTCCTTCAAAATCCTTTCTGTTAACCATAGCATATCCACCCCGTCACACACAAAAAGTGGGGAAAACAATTTGTTAATCAAATTTCGAAATTATATTTGTATTAATCATTCATTTTTCATTGTACTTCAATGCTAACGGCATCATCAGGTTTTAACATATCCAGAAATTGAGCCATATTGCTTTAGATTTTCCACCCCGTCACACTAAAGCCTGTGATGGGTTGGAATCATTGTGATAGGTGGCAACGTTCTTCATATTGAATTAATGCTGTACATCACATAAAAACATAAAAAAAAATTGTTTTTTTGAAAAAAAAAGACACTTTCTGAAGTAAATAACATTTTGCTTGTCTTAATTTTATCTAAAATTACCCTTTAATTTGCTAACCTTTGTCCTGTGACGGGGTGGAAAAGGAAACTCTGTTCCCTGGATATACTGTGCTAAAATATTCGCAGAAAATGGTGTCTGAGCTTGAAAAATATGTTTTATTGCAAGTGTTACATGTTCTACAGGCTATGAAACTAAAAAAAAGAAAAAATGGTTATGATCAACAAACTCTAAATTCAGAGGTCCAATCTTTACACTTTCCATGGAATGACCCACCTACAAGCAAACAACCTGCAAAGTAAATTTTTCCATCATCCTCAGCCATATACAGCTCAAAAGCTGACTGGATGGTATGCAACCTATACCTTGGAGTTTACTTCTTGTGAAGTCTTTGACATATTCGATAAAGCCGGCAGCCAAATCATTAAAATAAAAAGGTTGTAAGGAACTACGCATCACACACCCTCAAAAATGAGAGTATATAGGTCTCATCTCACTAAAGCCTTTTGAACTCAGTTCCTCACCACAGCAGGCTCATGAGCAATAATAATAAAACAGGGGTTCACAGCAAGGTTTGTCCTTAGAGGGGAAATATCCTGAGTCTTTTGGCACATAAAATTGCCTAAAGACTCTTTTGTCATCAAACGACAAATAGAGTTGTTTGATGTCTGGATGTTCTCAGTCGTATGTTCAGCATTATGAGTTCATTTTTCTTTAATAAAATTAATACCACTTATGGACATCACATTCATATGTGTCCATATTTAATATGAAAACTTAAATAGATTTTGGAAAGAACATTAGTCTTCTATAAAATTAAGGCTGCTGTGTCAGGGGACTGTAAAACTTATACTTAGATATTTTAGTCATCTGTTTTGTACGGAAGAGGATTAGGGCCACTGGGAAAAAAAAAAAAAAAAAGTTAACTGATTTTTAAATTTTATTTCAGTTTAATATGGGAAAAAAGTCAGAATTCTGACATTTTTCTCAGAATTCTGACTTTTTTCTCAGAATTCTGACTTTTGGATCTTAATGTAGATGGGCACCATGAAGGAAGAGATGTGGGAGCACTCAGCTTCACTGACAAAGATGTGAGTTGTTTGGGAGGAACAGGAACACATTGGTGGAATATGATGGAATTAGGCAACATTTTACGTGCCTGAGGTGTCCCCTCATTAATGGAGGAGCAGAAGGTCATTAAAACAAGAGAGCTAGTCTCTAAAACAGACATGGCTATGGCTTGATGCTGACATGTTTGTTTGCTGTCAGAATTCTGAGAAAAAAGTCAGAATTCTGAGAAAAAAGTTAAAATTCTGACTATTTTCCCATGTTAAACTGAAATAAATTTTAAAAATCAGTTAACTTTTTTTTTTTATTCAGTGGCCCTAATCCTCTTCCGTAGTTTTGTTTTCTGGATAACATCTTTATTAATTGAGCTGTGAATCTTATCAGATCGACTGAAAATCATATTTCTGCTTAATTTAAGCCAGGAAGCGTTGGAGCAGACCTTTGGATCGTCACCTCTGATGTTGAATGTTTATTCCATTACATCTACAGAGGAATCTAATAAAACACAAAGAAAACATAATTCAAGGATCTCTGCATGTGCTATGATACAGACTGGAAAAAAAAAATTGACATCCTTATCCGATAGACAGTGAAGTTATGTCCTTCCTGGGTACCTTTTATAGCAGTAACAGCAGTGGGGATGCAATGGCAGCAGATTAAGGTCGTCATATCTGCACCACCAGGTAGTTTGTGTTCTCTTTGGAGTTTTTGTTTTCTCTCCGCTCCGTCCTTCACTTCTGGCTCTACAGCCAACAGTACTTCCTCATTCTATTCTGGCTGAAACCGACAGAAAAAAATGTCATAGTCCCCAGTTTTCACTGGCTTGCAGAACTTTTCCATTAAAGTTAATCCAAACAGAAGTCTCACAAACCATTTTTATTTTTTTGTAACACTACAGCTGTTTGGCCCCAAAAGGAACTTTGCAAATCAACCTTGATTAAATAAGGTTAAATGATTTGGTTTACGGCATGCCGATTTAGCATTGCTTTAAAAATATATTTTAGGTTATGTTATGCTATAAAGCTGATATCTGCTCTATTGCTATTGTGTATTTGTTACGGGGTCTAAGTGATGTTACAAATGCAAAATATATTCTTTATTCTTAATTATTGATGGCTACTGCACAGAACTCCTCTTCAAAAGCTGTTCATTTGATCAGAAGCATGAGTGCTGGAAGTGTTTAGATTCAGTCATGTTAAAATTCAGTCTTTAACACAAAGTTGATGTGAACTAAAATTAGTTTTTTTTTTTTTATGTAATGACAACTTTAATCTATCAACTTAGTTTTTACACAGAGCAATGCTGGAAAAAAAGACATTAGCAGTAGCTGAATTATCTCTGCTAGTAACCATAGAAGGATCATTTACTGTGAGCGCCTGAAGGCAACATGCAGCCTTAACATTATGATCCTGAGCATATTTTGTGCCACAGAAAAGATTCACTTTCAACTGGGAGACCTTTGCCACTGATTTCCACAGAGGCAGAATGAGGGCTACTGCCCTCATGGTGCCCACATCATCCGTTCATTTAGTGTTGGTAGACCATTTTCGTCAGAGACAGACTGGCCCTTCAGGCACTCCTGCTTCTGAATTAGTCCCAGATGTGAAATATACGCAGAAATATCTATTTAATATTTGCCTTCCAGTAAGTTTTTTTTTTATTATTATTATCTTCAATGTGTATGGTAATGAGAAAGTGGTTTATAAAAACTTTTCAATTTCATTATGTTGGTATCCTAAAATGAAATAACTCCTTGGCTTTTTTCTTTTGCTGATCATAATCTACATTTATAATTTGAAAACAATGTTCTTATTGTTGCTTTTTCTCACCAAATTAGCCTGTGGCAAATTTCTTGTAATTTGGTTTTGATACAGAAATGTATAAATTTACGTTTGTGTGTTTGAGTGGGTTTTCATATTCGAGTTAACAACATCAAGGATATCAGATACTTAACCCTTCAATGTGACATTGTAAGTTTTAATCCCTCTAAAAAAAAACTCTCAAAACTTTCATAAAATTAGTTATTTGGATTATTTTAAAGATTTGCTTTGAATTGGCTAATTACCTACTTGTGGTGAAAATGGGAATCATACCAATCCCACAAGATGCTCAGTTTTATTGAAAGTAGAAGGTTTCTGCCAAACTAATAGAATCACCACATTTAGAGGCTTTTCATTCATGTGTTTTAATGTCACAGATCTAA